CATTGTACCAGTACTACTAGTAGGGTAAAGTAAGCTTACTCATCTCCGTTGGACGTTCAAGGCAGTGGAAAGCAGAAATTTAGCAAGGCCACCAAAGCTAGCAGGTTTTTATCAATGTTTGCTTGTCGTGAAAATTTATCAGTGGTCATGAATCCTGGAGAAGGCTTGAGTCGTGGTTAGCTCCGTGCCAAGCATGCTACCGTGGTCCATGACAGCAACCTCATGCTAGCCGGTAACCTCAATTCTTCAGCATCGTCTCTCCAGGCTAACAACACATTCACTTGTGTCATTATCACAAGACTTCGTTTCGCAATGGTGAGCTCGAGGACTCGTTGTCCAGCTGGCTTGCTCCCAAGTCTCTATCCATGCATTGCAGTCCACCACCAAGGACTGCTTCGCTGTCCGTAGCACGTTTTAGCAAGTGGTCGTCAAAGTCTTCGGGCTCCGTTTCGTATCCTAGCTCTTCTCCAAATTACGAACAGGCACTCAGTTCGTCCTTATTCCATTGGAACACAACACCGCGTCGGTTTAGACAACCAACCCAGCCCCGGCCCCACTACCGAGCGTCCTTCGGGCCCTGATCCCATGTCGTCTGCCCGTGAAGAACAACACAAGGGAACATCTGGTTCCTGGGGGAACTGTGACAGCGGAAGCATATTTCCGATCACGAGGTCTCCTCTGTGGGACGCCGCGTTAACCACTGTTGTTGGTCTTGGAATAGGCAAGTTCTCTCGATTTGGACATGCCACGACGCGTTTATTTTTCATTTGAGCGACAAGGAGCATCCAGTCCTGCACTGCAAGAGGAGCGACCTACACCTCACCGTGTGGTAGAGAAGCAGAGCTGCTTCCCCTCCTGTATCGGTGCTGTGCAGTCCCTCCATGTCACAGTGCGGTATGAGTGCTGTGATGATATGATAGCGATATGCTCAGAAGTGTGGTGCATGCAACCTCAAACAACTGTTCCCAAAGTCGAGACTCTGCACTGGTCCTTTCCTTGATGCAGATCAATGCGCCCTTGTAGATTTCCCTGTACTCACACGGTCATTCTCTAGTATTCATCGGCGGTGTGGCATACATAGCCTGGTATAAGAAGACCGTGCTAGACAAGGTGAGCAAGCTTATTCATTCCGAATTCAGGGTCTTCAATGACAGCCCCGGCACTGCCCTTAGATCGAGAGAGCGTTTTCCGCGGGTTACGATCCAGCCCTCGAGCTGGCTAACAACGGAGAGGAGCTGAGATCGTTCTCGAAAGTCCTCGACTGGTGAAGCAGACGATGGTCCCTGGACAGAACATCTCCGTCGAAAGGAGCAGGATCTGATCGACAACATCGTCAAAGGCCAAACGAGAGGTCGTTATTATTTCCTCGTTGGACCGAAAGTAAGGTTGACTTCGCGTGTTGTTGGTGGCGGCAGCTTTGCTAATCCATGCATAACAAGGGAGGAGGCAAATCGACATTAATACTGGATGCTATGCGCGCAATCGAAGCAGATGGTGTGGCGTTTCTGGACGCTCATCCGGATCTTGAAGTCTTTCGGCTGCGTCTTGGGAAGGCACTTGATTATGAGTTCAATGAGGACTCACAGACAGGCCTGTTCCAGCGACGAGATCCGAGAGAAGGTGCCGTTTCCAGCAGCCTCGTGTTACGGGCTGTGCTTATTTGTCACATCTACAGCTGGTCCAGCATTAGACATTGAAAGGGGTAACACGTAATCTGTTTTTTCCTGGCGAACATTATTCGAGCTAACTCTGATATAGCATTGAACAAGCTCGAGAAAGTTGCGTTACGCTGCGCACGTCGAACAGGCAGACCGCTCGTGCTCGTTTTTAACAACGTTCAACACTTCAACAATGATGACGACGGACGAAATATGTTACTGCAGCTTCAGCAGAGGGCAGAAGCATGGGCTGCTGGAGGTGCGCACTGCCTTCATTCGCGCTCTATTCAGCCCCTGAACACCTTTCTAACAGGTATCGTCACGGTCGTATTCACCTCGTATGTGGTACTGTGTTCCTGGTGGAAACACTCACATCAATATCCGCGTTAGAGATGACTTTTGGCCATATCTTCTGATGCGTGAGTTCCTTTGGAGGTTCATTCGCCATTGGCTGAGACCTTTTTCTAGGCCAAGCAGCGAGCCGGATGCATGTGCGTTTCTTGCTTTTCTGTCGTCTCTGCCGTGATTGAATTGAAGACCAGGTCCTTTCAATCCGTGACTTAGCATACACCCAAGCGCGCCGTGCACTCACCCATATGTACCTCTCCCGGCAGAAACATCAGGCACACGAAGACGTCATCGAACAAACGGTATCCATATTGGGTGGCCGCGTAGCATACCTTAGCAAGATTTCGCGGGCGGACGACATGCTCAAGAGTGCTAAAGAGCTCTTACAATGGGAGAAGGCATGGTTACTTAGTCAAATAGGGCTGATCCCGGACTGCGACGATGATGTTATGGATGAGGTGCGTCTTACTTGTGGATGGTGATTGGGCGTGGCTGATTCGGCGCACTAGCAAAAATGGAGCTCATGCTCGTGGCTTTTACTCAAGGAATTTGTCAAGCTATACCAAGAGCGCGAGAGCGAGTGTAAGGTGGCTGGGCAATCTTGGGATCATACCGACATGCCGTCTATACCCTATGTCTGTCTGCCTCATGCGTGGTGTCCTTCTTGCTCAAACCTTCCCTCATCAGTGGCGCTGTCGTCAAATTATGACAAGACCCGACTTCCTGGAGGGTGAGCAAGCAGGTTATTCATAAGAGCGTCAATATTTTTGCTCAGATCCCATGCATAGACCTTGATCGAGCGAATATTATTTCCGTTGACGTGAGCTGACACCACACCCGATCTTGAAGGAGTGTCTGAATTTCCTTACCTAGGTTAACCTTGACGTGCGGCCGGACTCGATGCTCATCCTGCTTGCTGCGCGCGAGGTGGTGGAAGAGAAAGGTTTTGATGACGTACTCAACAACGTTCGTGACCGAGTGGATGAGATCGAAAGCTTACACCGGACGAGAGAGCTCACAGTATGTTTTCACATTGCGTCGTACTGCGTAGCTGGAGGGTAACTTTGTTCGTGCAGTTCAAAGACTTATCTCCCGGAGATATTCTTCGGCTCGAGATTAAGAAAAATCGTTAGTGGGATCCGCGGCGCGAGTGTTGCTCACAGTTCGTTCACACCTTGCACACCTGCATTATCGTTATTGTAATGATATGGAAGACAGTGGACAGTGGTATTATGATCTAGATCGTTTCCTCCGATCATTGTCGGTATCGGCGGCCTCTTCTCTTCCCCTCTTTGGACTTCCGCACCTGCTATTCGTGGGAGTGGTTTGTAGGCTTTCAATAATGTCATCCTCGCTGTCCGATCTGTTGGGGATGAGTAACTAACGCGTCAACGGCGACCAATACTAAACTTACGCAAACAATTCGTAGGGCTCGGGACTATAACCTTGAGCCGCATTCGTCTTATTGGCCTCTTGCCACCTCTTCATATTTTCTGCCTTCCTCTCAGACCTCAACCATTCCATCCTAAACTTCCTAGGTCCTTTCTTCATCTTACCTGTCCCGTCCCAGAGCTCCTTCTTTTTCTTCATGTTGCCCATTACGAACACCTCGAGATACTCCCGTGTCACGCATAGCTCACGTACTTCTGGGGTGGTTTTGTCGAGGATGGCTGCAGTCCGGTTGAGCAGTCGCTGACTTTCGGCGATGCGAGACTCGATGATGGGAGCTGTGTTGACGAGAGTGGTGAACTGGCGCAGGCAATCGACAACCATGTTTTCGTCGGGACCCCCTGCAGCGCGGGGATCATCAGAGCAGACACTCCGTGCGTCGTCTTCGTCCTCGGACTCCTCGATTGAAACCTCAGAAGGACGAGCACCTGGCGCGTTAAATACGGGGGCAGAGTCCGCGGGTGGTTGTTCCGAGGGAATAGCGGGCTCGCTGCCTGACGGATGTACAGCGGTCACTTGGGGAGAGACCGCAGGTACCTCCATGGATGGATCTGGAAGTATCTCGCTGGACGGTTCTCCATGGGGTTCATCTAGCCGCACATTGAGGTGGTGAGCTATAATGTATCTGACGATGATTGCTTATCCACCTTTAACAATGACACCCTCGTCCTCTTCATTAATTGCTTCTGGGATAACTGCAGCCTGTATGGCGCCTGTTCGCGCTTTCTTCAGAACGTTCCTTTTTCTCGTTGCGGAGGAGGTCGGTGACTTGTCAACATCCCTGAGATCCAAGAGGTGAACCCCAGCCTCGGAGGGCTTGAAACTTGGAGTCGAACTTACTCAGGCACGGGCACACCTTTGGGATGCTTCTTGATCAGCCTCCGGATTATATCTTCGGTTTTCCCCACGGCGCGTACGAATTCTCGCTACACAGGGCTAGTGTCAGGTCTTGTTCGTAAGATGTCAGGACAAATCAAACCTTGGCGATAGATTGGACTTGGGTACGGGTCAACCGGCGAAGCTTAGGGCTGTCCATCATGCGAGCCATGGCAGTAGTATTTACTGGATGTTATTCACTGGGGGGATTCACAGGAGTACCGTTGAGATATACGTTGGCGCGTTAAGGGAAAGAAGTCGTCTGTCGCATTCTTGTCGTGGCATTTCTTATGATGTCCATCCACAGGGGCCAAAACACGACACAAAGGAAGAATGAATTAAGCCGTTAATTCAGGCTTGCTTTGTTTCGTGCTTTGACCCGTGACACGCGTGGCGCAATGTGGGACAGCGCTATTGTTGATCTGGTTGCTTGTCAAGTTGGCCTGTGGTTGCAGTTGTGGGTGTGCCTCGCGACAGTTGAGCACTGTATGGTCGATATGATCAGTCATGTATCGCGCTATTCTCAGGCTCGTCGTAGTCGGATAGACTTGGTTGCAGCCTGAGAGCGGTGGTCCTAGTTCTAGTTTAATAAGATGACGAGTCCCTGAGCTTTTTGAAAGTCTGATGCTAGGTCTGCAATATGGACTTGCATATACCTGAAGAGATCATGGCAAGATGGCCGAGCGGTCCAAGGCGTGTGACTCAAGCTTACCTAAGCTTGCCTGCTTAAGCGGGTCTTCTCATCTCCGTATGGAGGCGGGAGTTCGAATCTCCCTCTTGTCATATTTTTTTTCCCCGCCCATATTTATTAGTGTATTTATTTTGGGTTGGCCGATCGACTCCGAAGGGGACACTGCCGGGTTGCTTTGACCTCTCCTCGAAAAGGAATCATGTAGGGTCCAAGTAGGAACCTCTATTGTTCTTCTCTGTGGATCATTTGATTAGATTGCTATAAAATATAGGAGTGGGGTCTTGACGGAAGGAATAAATTCTCGCCTCCTCGCCCCATCGGGTCATCACTGCACATCTCCAACAAATCACCGCAAGATTGTCGCAACGTACCACACCATGACAGGCTGTTCATCGCAAGTCCAAGTCTCGAAGCGTAGCTTCCAAGGCTGTCCGCAAGCATGGCGTCGCCCCCCCGACGCCATCAAATTCGTCGGGATGCAGCAGCCTCAGCGAAGTATCCCTCCGCAAGCTTCCCCGCGCCGAACTCCAGAAAATCGCTAGGGTACGCGATAATCCACTGGTAATGTTGTGGCGGGCACTCACAGTTGTCTGTGGCCGCGGACAGGAACACAAAGTGAAAGCAAACTTAAAGAGTGAATCTATTATTAATGAACTGCTCAAGGTGCAGGCCCCCAAGAATGCACGGTGAGCGGACTGCGCATGAGCTTTATTAGATGGGTGACTAATGGAGTTCCTAGACGTGCAGAAGATGATCCCGAGGAAGGACCGTCGAAGAAGAGAGTCAAGCGGGAAGAGGACCTGCCCGCGAATACGTCGCGTATGACGAAGGGCTCTTCAGCGGTACCGAATCCGAGATGACTGAAGTCTCCCAAGACGGGTTCAACACTCCTGATCTCCTCGCGCTCTGGCACACCTTGCCCGGCGTACGTCTATGACCTTGAGCGCTGCGTCAAGATTATGCAAGAGATCACGAACAAAGACCAAGTTATGCTGGACCAAATCGTCGCTCTGCGTGAAACGGCTGCAAAGCTGCGCAAAAGAGCTGGGGACGTTCGCGATGTCGTCAAGGCAGAGAGGGCGCGTCGAGAGCGGATGGAGGCGTACTTTAGGTATTGGCACCAACTGAACCTACGTGGCATAGGAAGTGGTTGTATGGGGAGAGTATGGTACCCGACCGAATGATACAACGACTGGAAGATGATGACGCGTGAGTGTTCAGTTGTTCTCATGATTGGGAATATTTTTGATGGTAGTGACGTTGCAGACCGGCTGGACCACCGACTGTCGTCAACGCGAGACCTGCAAAGAAGCTCAATGTGCCAAGAGCACCCCCCGGGCTACAACCGTAAGATATATGCCTTTGGCAAACGATTCCAGCTGACACTTCACCCAGATCTGCACCTGCACCCGCACCCGCACCTGCACCCGCACCTGAGCCAAAACCAGTACTCGCACCCGAAGAAGTCCAACGAAAAAGAGACGTGATCATTGCAAAGCAGCGAGTGGAGGAGAAGGCGCTCGAAGGTTACCGGTTGCAAGTGAAAGCTGAACAGGCAGCAAAACAAGCCAAGCTCGCATCGTTCAATAGACATGCCAGGTGGTGAAGTAAGTAGTGGCGACCTAGCAGCGGACTCCAGTGTCAGTCGTCTCCCTTCACCAGAGGGGAGCCTTCGAAGTGCGCATGTGCCAGGGACGAAGCGGATAGTACATACTTGAAATTGTTAAATACCATCATAGTCGAGACTCTTGCTTTGGAGATAATTCAGAGTGGCCGGTGTTCAGCTCAGGTTCGGTCGATTATCCCGTCAAGTCCGAAGATGGGGTGGATGGCCACTGGCAGACGAGCCACAAGAGAGGGCAGGGGCTCAGATCGATTACCTACAACCTCACATGACCGTGTCTGCATCTAGTTTCAACTAGATAGACCGAGTCGAAGCGATACTTGAAGATACTAATGAACACAACAAACAGCTTTAATTTAATTCACATTTACAGTAAATCACAATTGGTGTTAACCCTAAGTACCACAATAACAATACTTAACATATTAGTCATCCATTGCCATTAACTGTTGTCAGTGCCAGCCAGCGTTGATTCGCTCCTTCACTTTCGTCGTCGTCCACTGTCCACTAACCATGCCTTTTGGCCTCACCATCGGAACTGACCGCGCTATTTCACTTCAAGTGCGTTTACATGCATGCTTCATTGCGTTTTTCATTGACTTGTGGCTTTTTTCGTTGCGGAACAGAATGCGATACAGGACGAACTCATGAAGCGCGGGTTTAGTCCTGATGCTGGCGAGTACCTTGAAATGAGCTTAATGGTTTTTAATACTGACCGGGGGGTTATATAGACCCGGTCATGGCGGAGTATATCACTATCATGATCATAAACAACAAGACTGCTGGTACGTTCTCGCTCTAAGCGGCTTGGTTCAACAGCTTTTGATCATGCTCAACATTTTCTCTTATTACAGCTCAGATTACATCCGAACTCGAGGATTGTGAGTCTCGTGCCCTTCTCTGACCTCTGGATAGCTGCTGACATCTTTGCATTACCTGTCGGCTGTAGTAATCGGGTCTGACTTTGGTTCGTGCGCTTCCCTCGTCAACCTCTCATTTCGATTGATTTTTCTGATTGCTGCCTCAACATAGACCCTAGTTTCACAGACTGGCTATTCATCGAAGCATCTAAAGGCGCTCCCGAAGCCGATATCCCACCTCTCCCCTCGACAGCCACACCCAGTTCCCAACCCTCGTCCGAAATTCCAACCCACCCAACTTCGTCGTCATCAACTGACCAAAAACGCCCGCCAAATGCCCCGCGCGCCGCAGCATCTGGTGGTGTCCCACTATATCAGCAGGCTCTCTCCTCGACGCTCGGTTCTTCACATGGTCACGCGCAGAAGCGGACGGCATCTGTACGGTCGCCTTCGCCCACCGGTCATGGACCCTCAAAAACGCGTCGTATGGACGTTCCGACCGGCCCTCGCGCGATGCTAAGTGGTGCTTCAAGGGGGGGTGAGGGAGGGCAGGTGCCGGTGCAAGTGTAAACGGAAGGAGTTTGTTGGACCGCGTTGGCGGACGAAATGGTGCACAGGCGTCCTTTGCGCGTGGGGACGAAATTCAAGCTCGTATCGACGCTGTCACCAATGGTGGTATCCCCCCCGGCGCACCCGGACCCGATCCAAGTATGCTAATGGCATTCCAAAATGGTGTCCCGATGGGAGGGATGGATATGGGGGCGGCGAATGCGGGTGCGAATGCGATTATGCTTCAGGAGATGATGATGAACCAGATGGCGCTTATGGCTCAGATGGCGACCTCAATGGGGATGTTGAACCCCACGACTGGGCAGATGATGGGTAACTTCCCTGGGATGCCACAGGGTGGTGATATGGGGATGTACCAGGGGGGTGGTGCATTCGGGCAGGGGCAGGGGCAGGGGCAGGGGGTCAACGGACGAGGAAGGGGGGGTGGAAGAGGTGGAAGAGGACGTGGTGGAGGACCGGGACGAGGTGGACATCTTGGATCTCAATCTACGTCACCCTCCGAGACGCCCACGCCCACGCAGACTCAGCTACAACTCCAGGTCCAACCAGAACCCAATGCTTCCTCAGCCGTCCTCAGCCCCTGCACCAATAGCAGCTCCCAAACCTACCCCCGCCTCTATATCACAACCGCTTCCGGCTCAGCCGCAACGGATACCTTACGCAGTACCTGAACGTCCCCAATCTCCAACGTTGTGCAAGTTCGGTACGAAGTGTACGAATTCACAGTGTAGGTTTTCACATCCTTCGCCGGTCGCGACTGCCGAGAGCGGTGTGGTGCTCAGTACAGAGGCATGCGAGAACGGGAGGGATTGCAAGGATAAAGATTGTATTAAATCACATGTTAGTCCCGCTGTTAACACCCCCGGTACGCAACATTTCTTGTCCTGGTTACCCATTCGTACTCACTTGTTATCTCTAGGTTCTGAGGTGCAAAAACCACCACCAACACACCCACATCCCCAGCCAGCGCCCTCTCACCCACAGCCGCCTGCTCACACCATTCCCTGCCGCTTCGGCGCCTCCTGTACCCGCCCCAATTGTACCTATTCCCACCCGCCACGACCCGTCTTCGACGCACTTTAACCAACAATGTCGCTTCGGTGCCGCATGTACGCGTGCTGCGGTGTCCTTTCCAACACCCCGAAGGCCGTGTGCTACCCACGACTTTCCACCGCGGCCTATCGACGAGTGAGCCGATGGTGAATGTGCCTACCCCTGACACCGGGAGCATGGGGGGTAGTGTGCATCGTAGTATGACGTTTAATGTCCCGAGTAAGGGAGCCGGGGCCAACAATGTGAAGGAAAAATTAGAGAAACAGATTAAGGAGTTGGAGGCTACAAAGAGGGCTGTTCAGGAGGCCGAGGCGGCAGCCGTGAAGAAAGACGAAGCGAAACCTGCTGTTCCTATCGCAGCTTGATGTTGGACACGAATTTGGATTCCCCACTCGACTCAACCACCTCGCGACTTCGACTCTTGGGCCTAGAAGAATAAAGCTTTGCGCAGATGACTTGACCAAAAAATTGAACATCCTTATTGTTTTTCTTTCTTTTCTATCCGTCGTTATCGTTTCTTTATTATTACATGTGACCTTCCTCCCCCCTTTACTCCATCGTGTTGTCGAGGAATATATGTAGAACCTGATTCATGCCTCCCAAACTGACGAACCAACACATACGTACTTGATCCCAGACCTACAAGCTATGCCCTACATCTACTTAGTGCTCTGGTTATCTCGGTGATGTAGTTACTAGGGCTGGGGAAAGAGGGGCAGAGGACGATGTAATGGTCATACTGTTTGGAGGACGCCATCAAAGGAATGGTTGTCTCATGCTCCCGTCCATTTGGCATGCTGAGCCCTAGTGTGATTTCTTCAGCTACTGGACAGAAGTGACATGTCCGGAACCTGTGCACCTGACTACCGAGCGATGAAGATGTCATCATCGTTGCGGTAGACATCACGAAAGATCATTATCCTATAATTGTCTTCAATACTGAATGAGGTGTCCCAGTGAACATCAAACTGCCCTTCGTGGGTCA